AAGCTCCTCCCACAAGCACAGTCTCCTGGTGTCTTCACAGGCAAACTTAGGAGAGGCAACCCAATGTAATGGGGGGAAAGGGGATTGTTAGTAATGTGGATTGATAATCTCATTGCTAGCAATGTACCATGTCAGGTTGACCTCCACGCGGTTCCCCCTGGAAACCATCGTGATAAATTACTGGTGAATTTGTCACGATGGGCTAACTGGCCTGACCTCATGTTCATCTTATCATCCTCCACTGGTGCCCCGCCAGCGTAAACCATTAGCGCAGGCGGGTGCACCATTCCATTATCATCCACTAGAAAAAACCCAATGTAATGTAAGTTGGAGTCCATTCTCCGCAATTAGACTCTCATCTGGACCGTCGTGCGTGTAGAGCCAGACTACTGAAGTACCCAGCCAAGCTCCTCCCAAAAGAGCAGACATCTGCTGGTGTCACAGGCTTCACGGAGCGACCTCACTGTTCCGAGGATTTGTGTTCGTTGTGTGGCCACTGCAAGCACTCCAGGATTACGCGAACAGCCGTGTCTTCGGCTTCAAACCAGCCCCGACAAGAGGGACTGTCTGTAGCACCTATTGTGTACAGGTGTTTGTTTAAGGTACAGTGGCCAGTTATTGCCCCTATCATTATTTTAAGGTGTGATTTGTTTGTAATAAATGTATGTATTTTGAATCATAGCAACTCTTTCTGCAGTCAGATTACGAAGTGTGACTGCATTCTGCGGTTAGCCTGCGATGTGAATAGACAGATACAACTGGATGTTGTGACTAGAAAGGTTGAAATTACATACAGATAGACATCACTGCTTAGCGGTTTAGCTGTTTATTTGCGTCTCCATGATAATATCTATATAAACTAATATACAGAGACTAGTTAAAGAATGGACCGAAAGACTATGTAAAGAGAAGAACTGTTTTTTTAAAACTTAATAATATTATAAACGCAAATGTTTGTAAGCAAAAGTAATGAACGGATTTTGAAAAAACTTTACTGTAATATAGATTATGCATCAGAGTAATACATACCTACGTATATTTTTTTATTGAAATTTAACGCTACCCACTAGCTGTAATAAATAAATAATCTTGGACAATTACCACAGCGCCATCTAGTCCACGGTAAGCAGAGCTTATGTTATAGGTACTAGACAACTAATATAATATTTAGATATTTTTTTGTATACATACAAAAATATATATATAACAAAATCTTTTATTTATAAAAATAAGCAAATTCACGAGCAACACATACTAAGTTTTTATATAAGATAAGTCCATTCAAGTAATTTTTTATTTTGCAAACATGCGCAAGGTCATTTGAAAAGAATACGAGCTGAGTTTCTTGTCAGTTCTTCTCATCTCGAGATCATTTCGTACTGACGGTAGATTTGACATATCATAAGAGTATGTAATAGACCCACATGAATAAAGATATTTTGATGATTTGATTTGATAGATACATTTTTTTATAAATACACACCTAACGTACATATTAAAGATTATGGGAACTATTTATTAAAGATTTTAAAATCAAATAATTTGATGTGGGTACTATTCAGAGCATACTACATGTCCCTACTACGGATATTGGTCTGCGGTTGCAGAGCAATATCTTAATAAATAGATCCCTCGCAGTTGGCAATTATTTGTTTGTTTATTATTTTTAAAAATTGTTCTGATTAGTTTGCAATAATGGGGTTGACATGTCTGAAAACAAAAACCCCAAATATAATCTAGATTAAAAAACATAAAAATTATACTCATGAATACAAATGTTTGTGCCGTGCGAATCGAACCCGCGACCATCGGATGTAAAGCGCTGTGTTAAACTGCTACACCACCGAGGCCGTCTATAATGTCAGTGAATATTATCTGTCTTCAATTATTTATATATTATCTACAAATGATAATGAAGAGAAAATGCTATAACATGTATATATGATTGTATGAACACACGAGGAGAAAATATTTATCTATAATGAGATTTCAATACGAGACGATCTCTAGAAAATTGCTGTCAATCTTCACTTGATTACCGTAATATGTATCTTATGATAAATAATATATTTTATACTAGCTGTGCCGCAAGTTTCAACCGAAATTTATAGGCCACTAGCTGTTCTAAAATAAAAGTAGCCTAAGTTACTCCTTATTACATCAGCTACCTGCCAAAAAAGGTCCCGTCAAAATCGGTGCAGCCATTTCAGAGATTAAATTCAAATTCAAATTCAAAAATCATTTATTCATGTAGGACATTTTAGCCGCTTATGAACGTCAAGTTTTTACATTGTAATTTTTTTTTTTCTACCGTCGATTAGGGAATAAATTAATTTGCCGGAACTAAATACTAATAATCAAATTAATTACCCGGAACGAACAAACAGACAGATAGACAGACAAAAATTGTAAAAAATGTTATTTTGGTGTATGTACCGTATTTATATTCATGCATGTAGTAAAAAACGGTTATTTCAATATTACAAACAGACACTCCAATTTTATTTATATGTATAGATGATTGCAGTGTAATTATGTGATATACTAGTGCTTCTTTTGTTATTTATTTTTAATATATTATTTAATGTATTTATTCTATATTTGTAATAGGAAATAAGCTGATTTATTACTTTATTGTAGTATTAAATGAAACTTGTTGTACACCACAGATGTGGTAAAAAAAACATTGTAATAACCTTTGCTCACATTGTCTCTAAATTATAATATCTTTGTATTATCTGTGCAATAAAGAATATATTATAAACGATTTTTCGTACCTTTTAAATTGTATACATTATTTGTAATAAAATAAAAATATAATAATTTCGCAGTCCGATAAGCTAAGAAATAATTGGATAATATATTTTAAATATTAAATTATTACAACTAAGAACCTAAAATTAAAAACCTTAAAAATATAATATAATAACTAAATTATATTATTAAAAGGAGTCCTTTTAGGCAAAGTTCCGTTGATACTGGCAGCGTTCCCTCTACTAATTCTTTGTCCAAGGTAGCTGCCAGCTCTTCGGTCTTCTGTGATGTCGACTAACCTTTTCGTTATTTCTTTGAAATGTCTTATAGCGCTGGGACCTCACGGACCAAGGGTCTCGACACCGAATGGGACAAAACCATATTCGGAGCCTAGACCCCTGTGTTTACATGTTTAATTTTAGGTTCTTAATAGTACAATTAAGTTATGTAAATAAAGTAAAATTATTACTTTCCGATTGTTAAATATTTATTATAAATAGTCAATTATTACTTCCCGATTATTTATCAATATTAATAATAAATAAAATATATGTAAACTGTACAGAACATAATGCAATTTATTTATTTACAAAAAAAAACTGTCCCCTTTAGTATTACAAAATATATAAATTTGGTTTAATAAAAATACTTATATGTAATATAAAAAATAATATATTATATTTTTTAATCGATAAAGCGGTTTGTTACGTTTAATAATTCTTTATTATCTATATATAAATACGTGAAACAAAAATTTTGTACACCATTTTGGAAAAATTGCGCGGATGCATCTCGCATATGCAATTTATCTCACTTATAATAATATGTTATATGTACTTATAGTTTACTAGCTGTCCCGGTATGTTGTATCAAAAAAAAAAAGAAACTAAAAATTTTGTCTTAAATAATAAAAAACAAAATTTTAGGGGTGGACTACCCCTAACATTTAGGGGGATGAAAATAGATGTAGCCCGATTCTCAGACCTACTCAATACGCTCACAAAATTTCATGAGAATCGGTCAAGCCGTTTCGGAGGAGTATGGGAACGAAAACTGTGACACGAGAATTTTATATATAAGATATAGAGAAGGAGAGCAGAATGATATTTTTTTAAATTATGTATAATAATATATAATCAATAAAAAACACACGTATATATACTCTATTGTCAATTAATTATGGTCGAATTTCGACCACTAACCAACCACTAGATTAAATAATGTTATGTTACATGTATGACCAAACATACTATGTAATTTGTTTTAATATATAAACATATCATCTGTTATTTTTTATATATAATATATATAAATAACTTTCTATGTGTTTAATGAAATATTTGATTAATAAAATATTTGTTCTCTTTGTATTTGGTTCATTAGTTATATTTCAATGTATGATCATACATATGTACTATATAATTTATTTTAATATACAAACAGATGATCCGTTATTTTTTTATGTAATAGAAATAGAAATAATCTTTATTCAAATAATCTTAATATAAGCACTTTTGAATAGTCAAGGTTTTTGATTCTACCGCTTATTCGGAATGCAGATTCATCACAAGAAGAATAAGCAAGAAACTTGTGTGTTGCTCTTTTAAATAAATATTGATTTGCTTATATTTAATTAACAACAAGGATTAGGCATGCGACAATCAACATGGAAACCGCTACGCACTTAATCTCTGTTCAATCAGATAACATTGTCAGCACTATGAATTTTAAGTTAGATATTTTCTACAAAATCATTATTATCATTTATAAATTCTTCAATTTTATAATTAGCTTTTTTACAAAGAAAATATTTTATAACAAATTTGAATTTTTTTCCTGGCAAATTGAGTACTCTGGGAGTTTGTTGTGAAACCTTACGCAATTTCCATAAAACGAATTACCAACTTTCGTCATATAATAATAAATTCAAAGAATTTTTTTTATTTGGTTTGATATAATAAAAGGTGAACCAAATACATTAGATACACAATAAATATTATATTATATAATAATTATGCTTTTTTTATATAGCATATGCTGGTGGTCACTATATTCTCGCAAATTTGAATTTAAATGAAATAGTATTATTGTAAATATGTACAACATTAAAAAAAAATACGAGCTGAGTTTCTTGTCAGTTCTTCTCATCTCGAAATCATTCCGAACTGACGGTAGATTTGACATATCATAAGAGTCTGTAATAGACCTACATGAATAAAGAAAAAAAAATAGAAGAGTAACCCTACCTTGCCATATCTTCCGTTGCACCTTAACCTCCTTATCCAATCGATCCAGCACCTTCTCAAGTGTACAGCTCCAGGCGTTCTTCGTGTTGAAACATTCGATGAAATGATTAAAACTGGGCATTAAACTTTTACCGAAACTAACCACATACTCATAGGTACTGTCCAACAAACTAGCGGATTGTGCCTGACTGCAGATTATTAATAGAAATATAATTTTTAACTTGGACATTTTGTTGACAAGTGTTGTTACTCTCAAGGCAAAGGTTGGACTAGTGTGAGCATCATTTTCTTTGCGTATATACCAGTACTTTCATTTTAAGGTGAGCAGGTTTGCGCGGGTGAGCACATTCGATGAGTCGGTGGCGTAGTGGATACACGACTCCTTGCTGATCTTAGGTTCGATTCTCGAATAATATGAATATTTGTAGATATCTATATTTTATTAATATTATAAATGCGAAAGATTGTGAGTACGGATTTTTGTTACTCATTCACGCAGAAACTACTGAACGGATTTTGTTGAAACTTCTTCTTTACTTATAAACTTGAAGTTAATAAATAAATAAGTGCTATTCTAAATCAATATATGTAATTTTGCTCGTTGAGTTACATAATTATTTATTGAGTAGATTTTTGTATTCCTGTGACGCCTAATTCTTTTTTATGTTTTCATTTCACATGCAAGTTAAAATTCATAGTGTTTCATTTCTTATTAATATATTATACTAGCTTTTGCCCGTGACTTCGCTCGTATTAATTTATGCCCTTAGAGGTGGAATTTATAAAAATCCTTTCTTAGGGGATGTCTACGTCATAGTAGCTGTATGAATGAAAAGTCTCAGCCCGATCGGTTCAAAATTGACAAAGTTTCATATAAAATTTCATCCCCTATTTTATCCCCTTGGGGGTAGAATAAATCAAAATCCTTTCTTAGCGGATGCCTACGTCGTAACATCTACCTGCATGCCAAATTTCAGCCCGATCCGTCTAGTGGTTTGGGCTGTGCGTTGATAGATCACTATGTCAGTCACCTTTGAGTTATATATATATATAGACTTAATTTTCGTACATGTATATACTTGTTTATAACATTCAGTTATATTACAAACAGATATCGATATGAATAAAAATCTTATCTATCTATCTAAAAATTAAACTAAACTCGAGCTAAAAAAAGTAGGTTATGTATGTTATACATTATGTATAAATGTAAATTATATTTCATTAATATTAAAACTCTATGGTGAATATTTATACTCTGTTTATTTTCAAGGTCAACAGTGGCAAAACAGTGTTTTGGCAAATGTATATGTATATAAATTTCTCAACTGACCATACCTAATATGTACCATACTGTGCTAACATTATTTCACATTACTAACTATTCTTCCCCCCATTATAAGATCATAAGTCCTCTCTTCTAGGTTGCTTGTAAGAGATTGCTTATACCGATAAGGCCTTTTGTAATTCCTTTAGTATTTACTGTATTTTCTTATTGTTTCATCTGTGTACGGAATAAAGAGATTTGTTATTATTATTTTTATTATTTACTTCTCGTCTTTCAACGGTAATTTTGGTATGTACGGCCCTAAGCCAAGTACATAGCAATGTTATAATTTGAGGTGAATCTTATACAATTCTCGTGTCACAGTTTTCGTTCCCATACTCCTCCGAAACCGCTTGACCGATTCTCATGAAATTTTGAGAGCGTATTGAGTAGGTCTGAGAATCGGCCAACATCTATTTTTCATGCCCCTAAATGTTAGGGGTAGTCCACCCCTAATTTTTTTTTTGTAGTTTAAGGCAAAACAACGTTTGCTGGGACAGATAGTGTACTATAAATATCGGTTTAATCTGTTTGTAAAAAAATTCTGACAATGCGGCATGTGTAGGCTAGGCTAGGATAACAGCCTTCTGTAGTTGGCAGTATATATTAGGAGGCAAGTTAATATTATTATTATTATAAATTAATAAAATACTCTAAGATGTCACCTATTTTTTTTTTACAATTAACACAGCGCCATCTGTGTACTCCCACTGTAAGCAGTGGTTGTGTTATAGGTACTAGAGTTATGTATGTATTAAAAAAAATATATAAATACTTAGATACTTCTCTGTAAATACATACATAATATCCTGTGTACTCTCTTCTCCATACTTTTTTATTGTTCGTCTCCCTCTTATTTGAAAAATAGATTTCAGTTCACAAGTGACTCCCATTCTCGTATTCTTCGTTCATCCCATAATCTCCTCATCTCAACCCCTTCCTATCACTCAGGTTTTATGTCTAATTCGTTTACTATCACTGCTATTAGCCTCTGGAATAGAATACCTGTACAACTGCGTAAAGCATCGAGTAAGCCCATTCTTAAAAAGAAATTATTTAATTTTCTTTTGAATCACCAAAATGAGTTATAACTGTATTGCATTGTACTAGTATTATATTTATCTATATTTAGCATTAATGTATGACATTATATAATATCAGGTATACTATATATATGATTATATGTATGTATATATTTATTTGTATTTCATATATATTATATAATATTTTTTAGTAACTTTGTAATTGTTTTTTGACATAACTGCCCCACAACGCTTTCTGTATACCTAAAGGTTAGTTGGTCGAGAATACCATACGGCATTAAGCTCGCTTTTGTACAAGTTATATTGTGCATTAAAGAATAAATAAATATACATAGAAAACACCCAGACTGATATAATCATACTCATGAATACAAATGTTTCTGCCGTGCGAATCGAACCCTCGACCATCGGAAGTAAGCGGTGTGCTACCGCTAGGCCACCGAGGCCTACAAATATATAGGCTATATAACATCACGCTATGACCAATAGGAGCGGAGCAGGAATGTAAAATAGGAAAAACAACAGCAATATGAAGGGCGGTAGTCGGTTAGTCTAAAGCGGTTTTTTTTTAAATACATTTTTCCACAGACATATTCGTCCGTGCCTTTTTTAATTTACTTTAATATTATTATATTTATTTAATTTCCACTTTTGTACAACTCCAGCCGAGATGTTACAATTTGCCTAACAGTGACACCGAGGCAGACCTTATCCGTCTGGCCCAGAACCACCGCTGGCCGGCCGGGTGAGTTGACAACATGCAGTGTCACCTATCTTTATTAGGAGCCAGTTACATTTACCAATATGCATATACAATTATATAAATCTTACACTACTACTAATTTCACAGTTTTCATTACATTGTGTTGTATTGTTACATTATGAATTCTTACATGCATATACAATTATATGAAATCTTATTTTAACATTATTTTCAAAGTTCACTATTTTTTGTGTGTAATATATATATTTTTTTCTCTCAAGGGGGGAATATCTATGGGACACAGTCACCTAGATCCATAAAATATAATTGCATTTAATAATGTCTAGTAAGACAAATTCAATATTGTCTACTAGGCACTGCTGTATCTAAACTGTGTCACCCCACCTTACATTTTCCTATTTTTATTTAGTATATAAGATCATTATTTTTATGTACATATTGTCAGTTTATCATCATCTGTAATATACATCGTCTCGACCAGCAACATCGTAATATTCACCCGCAACAGTTATAGTCCAGGTTTTGTTTAATTATTGATTGTTCACTTTTTGTCGTAATTCAGGATTTTTTTTCTTTCCTTTTTTTTATTATACTTATACACTCTGTTTCACAATTAGTGATACGCGTACCCCCAGGGGTACATAAAGTTGCATTAAGGGATACGATTCTATCAGTAAAAACAAGAATAATATCCACAATATTATTTTATAACGATTATCATCGTAAAAGCTCTCATCGTAAAAAATCTGGACCAAATCTGTCTGACGATATCCCGACGAGATCCAGCAAGTGATCTCTGTCTCGACCACGTCGGGGTCACCACTGTTGCGGGTGAATGATACGATGTTGTTGGTCGAGACGTAGACGAGACGTATATGTACATAGAACTAATGATCTTATATACTAAATAACAATAGGAAAATGTAAGGTGGGGTGACACAGTTTAGACACAGCAGTGCTTAGTAGACAATATTGAATTTGTCTTACTAGACATTATTAAATGCAATTATTATTTTGATGTATCTAGGTGACTGTGTCCCATACTGCGCCTGCCGCATTTCGTCATTACCTGCCCCCGCCAGCATCCACCCATTCCCGCAGGCGTTTGAGTTGAAGAAGTAACAAACATACACACACACTCACAAACTTTCGCATTTCTAATATTATTATGATTGCTACAAGAAAAGGTACGCAAGGTTTGAGGTCTTTTTTGAATTGGTACGCAGCAGAAACTAATTGGGAACAACTAGTCTATAGAAAGCATTTTTAATTTTCCTTTCTTCCAATACATAATATGATACTGGTATTTTCTATGAGATTTTCTATTTGTATGTAATTGAAAGATAATACGCTTGTAAACGCGTGATAATTCCTCGTTTACTTGATTGTGGACGCGGTAAATAGCGTTATGTGTTACATTCGCTTTCGACGTGTGAAAGTGATTTTTTTTTATCTTTGCAAATTTTTTTAGATACGCTTATTTTGATGATTGCAAAAAAAACAATTATGTTTTCACTTAATTATAAATAACGCAAACGTTTTGGCGTGAAAATTTAAATTGTTGTTAAAAATAGGGGTTGGTGATAGCAGGGTGGAGATTTAGGGTGGTATGTATTATTTAATGACATTATATGAAAATATAAAATGAAAAAAATATTAGGGGTGGACAACCCTCATCACTTAGTGGTATGAAAAATAAATACTAGTCGATTCTCTGACATATGGAATATGCATATAAAATTTCATAAAAATTGGTCTAGTCGTTTCGGAGGAGTATGGTAACTAAGATTGTGACACCAGAATTTTATATAAAAGGCTAGCTGTCCCGGCAAACGTTTTGACATGTAAATTAATAACGCTATAAAAAAATAGGGGTTGGTGACAGAAGGCTGAAAATTTACGGTTGTATGTATTTTTCAATGACATATAATAAAAAAATTAAATAATTTTTTTTTCCCAAAATAAAATGTTAGGTGTGGACAACCCTTATCACTTAGGGGTATAAAAACTTAAGTAAAAAAATAGTAGTCGATTCTCAGACTAAATGAATACGCATATAAAATTTCATAAAAATCGGTCAGGCCTTTTCGGAGGAGTATGGTAACTAACATTGTGACACGAGAATGCTATATATATAAGACATTGTTTGTTTGTAAATATTTT